CCCCCCCGCTCTCCCTATAGCATTTTGTAATAGTTTAAGCTAGCCAATAACCACGCTTCTGCTTCTGTAACCTGCTTCTGCTCTATAAAAACCCCAAACCCGAGACCTGGGGGGCTTCTCCCTTTGTCAGGAGTTGTGCCCACAGGTACCTGTGTAAAATAAAAGCCTCTTGCTATTGCAACTCGAGGGCTCGACTTGTCCTTTGTGGTTTCAATTTTACAGGCTACTTAAGTGTCTCTGTGTGGGTGCAGGCTGCAGGCTAAGAACAGAATCTAGGATGTCTTGCCTGCTAGAGATGACACCTGTGATCTACTGTCCAAAAAGAACTCCAGGATTTCCGTATCTCATTGTCCCTACAGTTGTGGCATTGAAGGTCTTGGGAGCATCTGGTTTCATCACAAGACTTTAGGAGAAATGTTACAACCGTCCCATAACCTAGATTGAAAAAAACTATGGAGGATCCTTTTCCTCAGAACATGCTATAGATGAAGTTTGGAAGAGACTGAGCCAAGTGGCCCATTAGTGGCCACTTCAAGGGCAAGATGATGCCAGGACCACCATCTCTCCTGGCTCTTACACACCCATGTGATAATCTTTAGATCTGTTACTTCAAGTATATTTCCTTTGCTTCATGCATTTCTTTTTCTGGGTCACCAAGTAAGTGTACTGCTTCACCTTTTCACTCGCCCTCTATACTCTGAGTCTTTCCTTGATTCTATACCACATCCTAGGTGATTTCTTAATGCAGCAGTTCACTAGTCATAGCTGTGTCTAACCTCATCCATTGTACTTTTTTACTTCAACAATTTTTAACTTTTTAAAAATTTATTTTATGTGCATGCGTGTATTGCCTGCATGTAGGTAAGTGCACCCGTGTCGTGCAATGCCCGTGGAGGTCAGAAGAGGCTGTAGGATCCCCTGGGACTGGAGTTACAGTTGTTAGCCGCCATGGGGGTGCTGGGATTCAAACCCGGGTCTTCTGCAAGAACAACCAGTGTTCTTAACTGCTGAGCCATCTCTCCAGCCCCAACAAATGTGTTCTCATTTCTAAAAGTTTTTTCTCTGATCCACTTTCTCAAGTTTGTCTCCCGTCTCACAGCACTTGCTCACGTTTCATTCTTTCAGCAAGTATTTTGTGTCCCCCTGTGTACAAGGCATTACTCTAGGTGCTAGAGTTACACTAATAAAACAAAGTTCTCTCATTTAACATGCACACAATGGGAAGAGAAATATCAAATGAGTGATTTTTAAAAACTTTTACAGGCATACACAGAGGTCAGAGGATAACCCTTAGGAGCTGGTTCTTTCCAGCCACTGATCCAACTCAAGCTGGTAAGCTTGTGTAGCAAACCCATTGAACCATCTCCTGGGCCCTCAAGTACTTTTTGCTGTATAGTATATAGTAACTGAAGAGACTAAAAGTACAACGGAGGCTGAGTAATGGGGCGGGGGGGGGGGGGGGTTGTTTTTGAGATGGTCTTTTGATTATCCTAGCCGACCTCAAACTTATGATCCACCTGCCTCAGCCTCCCAAGTGCTGGGATTTATAGTCATGCATCACCATTCCTGGCCTGGAAAGGTATGACTTTAAATAGGATGTCTGTTTTACAGTCTCCAATAACTTCAGTAACTGGTTTTTGGTGACGTAAACATACTGTGAACTGTCAGTCATAGAGCTTGTTTCACTACCTGCTAATGTCTGGTTGCGAACTATTTGGTTGACCTAGGCCCTCAGTGTTTGTTTTGGTAAATCCACCAAAGGGGTTAGCAAAAATGGCTTTGGGGCAAAAATATATTCCCCACCACTTGTCACTCAAGACACTTGGGGCTGCAGAGATGGCTCAGCAGTTAAGAGCACTAGCTGCTCTTGCAGAGGACCCAGATTCAGTTCTCGGCACCCACGTGGTGACTAACAATCATCTGTAACTCCAGTTTCAGGGGATCCAATGCCCTCTTCTGATCTGCATGGGCATTTCACGACACGGCTGCGCTGTAGAGGCAGGCACTACACTCAAACACATAAAATAAAAATAAAATGAAGGGACAGATGCTAAAAAAATTGAAGGATCCACTAGACTAAGATGCACTGTGGTGATCATGGTTCATTGTGATCAAGTTTTCCTGTTTCTTCAGAGGGAAGTAAACCTTGATTCAGAGTTCAAAAGGAGGTAGTCCAATTATTGTACAAGTCTACAATACCAAACCAAAATTTAAAACTATATGGATCTTAAAAAAAAAAAAAAAAAACAGCAAAATTCAGTCTTGTATTTTCCTGGCTCACCTCATTTTTTACTTCTATCAAAGCTTTCTTTATTCCGTTTCCATGTGTGATCTTGTGTGTATGTGTGTGTCTTGTGGGGAAGGCCGAATGGAGGCCAGAGGAGGACATCAGGTGTCCTCTTTCACTATGTCTTATTCCATTTTTTTTTTTTTTTTTTTGAGACAGGGTCTCCCTGTAGCCCCAGCTGTCCTGGAACTCACTATGTAGACCAGGCTGGCCTCGAACTCACAGAGATTCGCCTGCCTCTGCCTCCCGAGTACTGGGATTAAAGGCATGCGCCACCATGCCTGTCTTATTCTCTTTAAATGCTCTCTCCAAAACTGCAGTTAGGTTGGCAGCCAGTAAACCCTAAAGATCCTATCTCTGTTCCCCCAAAACACTAGGGTTCCCATAGGCATGCATGTGGGCATGGCTAGCTTTATGTGGGTGCTGAGACCTCAACTTAGGTCCTTAGGCTTGTACAGCAAGCATTCTTACCCAGCCTGGTTCCAACTTCCAATGTATTCTGAATCCAAGTCTAAAATATATTTCTAACCCTATGAGATCTGTTTATCTCTCTAAGCTAGTAATATCCTTTTTAGCAAAGTGATAACTCACTACAAGACATACTCATTTCATTATCTGATTGTCTATGTCCTTTGTTCTATTGATGACATTTCCACTAAGGTTACTATGGTGTAGTTACAAATCTAATTAATATAAGACAACATATCTTCTAACATTACTGAATTTAAAAACTATGTACATGGGTGTGTGAGGGTGGCAGTGAGAAGTCAGCTGCGGGAGTCGGTTCCTCTGTCCACCATGCTGAACTCAGGCCGTAATGGCCAGTCTGGAGGTGGCAGGGCCTTTCCTCACTGAGCCACCTCACCAGTCTCATTACTGAATTTTAAACAATTATTTAGAAAACGAACACAGAAACCATTAAAAGTATGAGTCCAAAAGACATAAGACATAAGATATCCAGTAACCAAGAACAACTTGAAACACATTTAGAGCTTATTATTTAGCAGATAATGTTTGAAATGTCTCAGATATTGACATCCCTGAGACTGGTATTGTGTCTATTTTACACATAAGGAAATTAAAACACAATTATATTAACTTATCCAAGGTTACTTACATAGTGTCAGAATCAAGATTCAAGTGTAGTTTAGTTGTACAATCTACACTTAAATCTGCATATTAAACAGATTTCTCCAGTTCAAACAATCATTCTCACAAGGTAAGGCATAATTATTTTACTTCCAAATTTTTTTCACCACAATAAAAATAACATACAACTTTACAAAAATAAATTTTTATTAAAAGCAGTAGAGTCTGAGCAGGAAGACAGTACAAAGAATGTAAACAATGTAAACATCACTACATTCAGCTCAGCCTGATTGAATGCTGAAAAACAAGTCTAAATGCTCTATGTGCCCTTACTAGCAAGATACATTAATTCTATTTTACACAGACAACATGTTCTAATATTTATTAGGAAAAAATAGTTTATCGAAGTCGATCCCAACGCCAAATACTGGCATCATCACAAACAGCTATAAGAATGCTGCTATCCCTGCTAAAACTGGTTTGTCGAATAGCAGCACCACATTTATGATGAGTCAGTGTTGTACATCTGGGGAAAAAACATGATAAATGGTTAAGTATCAAACACAATGCTATTTACATTAAAACAGTGAATGAGAAAATGCACAGATGTTCCAAGCCTCATAGAAAGCATTTAAAACCAGACTATCATCACTAAGAATTCAATCTCAAATTTCATCCAGTTTGGTGCATGTATTTATCTTATCACCAAGGTATCAATGACAATTACTGAACTTAAAACAAATTTTTTTTTGAAATAGTCTGAAACTTGTAAATGTCAAAATGACTGGGCTAGGGCCATAGTTCAGCTGTAAAACACTTGCTTAGCATGTATAAGGCCTGGAGTTTGATCCCAGCACCACAAAAATGAATGAATGAATGAATGATTTAAGGATGATGTTACGGGTATCATTCGCTCTCTATAGACACGAAATTTTGGATAAAAAGGCTGAAATTTCGAACATTCTGAAATGTCATAATACTTACTTGGCTTTATGAGGATCTTCTACTTCTAAATCCCAAACATAAAGTTTGCCAACCTGATTGCCCAATGCAAGCATCTGTGTAAACATATTTTTAAAAAAGATAAAATTAATAAAACCACCAGGCTCTAAGGCATTCAAGCAATCCTAAGACATCTTTCTTACTTCAGAAAAACCTTGGCTCCAGTCTCTGACTGCGCTCTTGACTATTTCTTTGGATCTTATATTCCTGATTTGTAAATAGGAATAAAAGCAATTAATATTTCATCAGTGTCTTAAATAAAGATGGCGTTATGACATTTTATGGAAGGCTTTACAATTTTAGCATTAGCATGGTACTTATTTTTTCTGCTTTAAAGAATTAAAAATAAAAAAGTGGAAAGCTCTTCCAAAACTTTGTTACAGAAATACTCAGTTAATTTGTTCACAAAATCCCAGGAACAGGTTTCTTTAAAATTTTAGGTAACTAGGTATTCTGCCTTTCTTCCATGCTGATTTTTCTCTGAGTTTTTTTAGGAAAATGCTAGGTAAGATTAGCACATTGAAACACTGTCTTCGAAACAGGTATTACAGAACGCAGCATTTACTAACTAACTGCTCATTTCTTTTATAACAGGCACTGCAGATGACTGCAGCCCACAAAGGTAGGCAAAGCAATCGATACAGAATTGATACAGTCAACATCAGAAGACAAGAAACATGGACAAAACAAAAGGCTAGAACTGCAATGCTCTTTCATTAGACAAATCATTTCAAAATGTAAAAATATGCTGCTACCTTTTGCCAGAAATCCATAGAAAACCTCATGTACCAAATGTCACACTGGCTGTAATCAAATCGCCCAAGAATAGTCACATTAGACTCACTAGGTTTAATTTTATCTATATCATCTTCCATTTTGCCAGGTTTCCAGCATACAATGGCATTCTCACAAGACTGAAAAAGAGAAATGAAACATGTATTAGAACTGAAATTTCCCAAACCGAAACTGTTGCCATTTTAGAATATCTCAAAGAACCTGTCTAATCCAGAAATATACATTCATTTGTGTTTATTGAGCCATGTCTACACTTGAGGACAGAAAATGAGATCAGCAACAGAATCAGACAAAGAATCATGTTTGAAATATTTGTTCTGGATCCTTCATTCACAGAGTGAGCACCACATGCCAGATGCTCAGCAGACATCCTAAGTAAGTGATTTCCTGTAAGAGCCTCTGAGACTGGGATACATGCAAAGTGGTTCAAGGGAGGGCAGGATCAGAACAGGCTGTGACATTACACTTTCCCTAACTTGTACATTGAGTCTTCAGACACTTCTACTCAGAGCAGTAATTTAAAAGAAATACAAAGAAAAAAAAAAATCGCCCTGTGGGCACTATTCCCATTGCCGCTGGCATTGCCACTGGCTTGGCGGTTTCCCTACCACAGGCCTTTGTACACGTCTAGCCTCTCGGAAAATGCCAGAGATGCTGCTTTGTGAAACAGGGTGCTCCTTCCAGCCCAGCAGCAGGCAAAAACCACACAGCCCAACCTCAACAGCACCAAGATTAAAACCCCAGCGCACATGCACTGCCCTAGAGCTTTTCAGGGCAGCCTATTCAATCACAGGACAGCCTTTCAGGGGCCACTGCATTTAAACAGTTTAACCACAAGGCCACAGAAAGATTAGGATGAGGAAAACACTTTTTTTCCTCCTTCTCTACCTTTTTCAAATTTTGGAAATTCTAGTGCTGACATCTCTTATACAAATTATTAATTGCAAAGTCCCGTCCCTGAGATCACTTAGCCCAATGCTGCCCTAAGTGTACAACTGGATCAAATCCTCTACTAAATCAGAATCTCTAAGACAGCTTGGGTTTCTTTTGCTATATACAACCCAGTATGGATCCTGAGAAGGCAGAACTCAGAAATCCTAACAGGTAAAGACTGGAAGACTTCAGCCAAATTCTGCTATTTCAGTTCAAAGGACTAAGAAAGTAGCAGCCTAACTTCCAGACCACAAAAAAATCTGTGAGAGCATCTCCAATTGAACCTCAAAGGCCTGCTGAGAAATCTACTGGCTCCACAAAGAACCGGAAGTACATAACCCTGGCTCTCTCTCCACCCTTGTAGTAATGAGTAGCTTAACTTTTCTGGCTGGGCTAGTATCAGAAGGTATGGCAATCAGAACATTCAACGCCATGCAGTGGTAAGGCACAGACAATCCACAGTGCCGCTGGAGTACTAGCACTAAGGAAGGCTGGCCCCTCCCAATTAAGGTGGTATCTGCTGAGGCCTAGTGGACATTCTGAATTCCCACCTTCACCAAGGCAGTGCTTCCTTCCACAACTGAAAAGACCTTAAAGGAAGCCTGCTAGCAATCTGCGCTCTCAAAAACAACCATAACTAGGAATGTAGCTTAGTGAGAGTGCTTCCCTAGCACCTGAGAAGCCCTGGTTTTATCTCCAGCATCATAAAATGAATGAATGACTGACTGAATGAATGAATGACAATAAGGAAGTCTCCAGAGTCTCATAATGCTCAAAATATCCAGGTCTCAAAAAAAAGTTACTTGTTATACCAAGAATCAGTAAAGCTTTAACTTAAAAAAGATACCAACATGGGGGGGCTGGAAAGATGGCTCAGCAGTTAAGAACACTGACTGCTCTTGCAGAGGACTCGGGTTTCATTCCCAGCACCCACATGGTGGCTACAAACCATCCTTAACTCCAGTTCCAGGGGAATCCAAAGCCCTCCTCTGGCCTCTGTGGCACTGCACGGCAGGTGTGCACCCACATACATGCAGGCAATATACTCATACACATAAAATTAAAAAATAAAAAAGATACCAACATGGAGATATCAGAACTAAATCACAAACATTGCTTCAACCAACACAAACACACCTGAACAACAGCAAGTGCCAGAGACACGGACATCTTCCAAAGGGAAGATACTATATTAACTGTGGTGGCTAATTATGACTGCCAAAGTCATGCGATTTAGAATCCATGGGAACAAATATCTGCATGTATGTGATAGATTTTCTAGATTACTTTAACTGAGGCAGAAGACCCACACTCTATGTGGGTGGCACCATTCCATGGGTTGGAGTTCTGGGCTGCATAAAAAAGGCGAAAGTGAGCTGAGCAGCATGCAGTTTCCAGACTGGATGCCATGTGACCAGCTGCCTCCCACTCCTGTTGCCATGACTTCCCTGCCATGATGGACTGCACCACTCAACTGTGAGGGAGAACAACCCAGCCTTCCTTAAGATGCGTTTGTCAGATATTTTGTTGTAGGAACAAACAAGTAACTAACACAATAATCAAAACTTAAAACTCAATTAATGGACGGGGGGGGGGACAAGAATTTTAAAAACCAACAGAAATTATCCAATTGGAACAAAAAAAAGAAAACAGTGGAAGGACCCATCAGTCATTTCAGGGACAAAAATAAACAATCGAATATCTTAGAGTGTTTGCCTAGCATGCTTAAGGCCAGCATGGCTGTGTGTGTGTGTGTGTGTGTGTAAAAAAGAATCTGAATAAATGCTGACAAGGAAAATAAAATGCACAGATCAGGGGTTAGAGAGATGGCTCAATGTTTAAGAGCACTGGCTACTCTCAGTTTAATTCCCAGCACCCACATGGTGGTTAACAACTGTCTGTAGCTCCAGCTCCAGGGGATCTGATGCCCTCTTGCCCTCTTCTGACCTCTGAGGACATTGCATGACATGCAGGAAATACACTCCCACATAATAAAACTTTTTTTTTGGTCTTTTTGAGACAGGGTCTCCCTGTAGCCCCAGCTGACCTGGAACTTACTATGCAGACCAGGCTGGCCTTGAACTCACAGAGATCCACCTGCCTCTGCTGGGATTAAAGCCACTGGCCACCACACCCTGCCACAATAAAACTTGAAAAAAAAAAAAAAAAAAAGCACAGATCAGAAAATATGCACACCTGTAATAATAGCAATATGGAGATGGAGACACAAAGGCTAGGAGTTCAAGGCCAGCCTGGGCTATGTGGAGACACCCTACATTAAAAGAAGTACAAGATTTGGATGTGAAACACCCCCAGAGGTCATGTGTGAAAAGGCCTGGTCTCAGTCTACGAGCTACTGGGACTGAGAACATCAGGAAGCAGGACTTAGTTGGAGAGGACACTGGGGGTATATTCTTGAAGGAGATTTGGAGGAGCCAGGCCCTCTCCCCTCTTCTTTGTGTTTCCTAGTCACCATGAGTTAAGTTCTACTCCACCACACTCCTCACCACGATGTTCTGCCTTGTCACAAACCTCAGGAAGTCAGGGACTGAAACAAATTTTTCCTCTTTTTAGGTTGTATAGCTCAGATGTCCTGTCACAGCAATAGAAAAAGAACTAACGCAGAAGGAAAACTGCCTTTTAGCAGATGATAGAATAACTGCTCTTTAGGTTACAGGATTCTTCTGACCTCCATGGTCTCCGCACAACGCAGGTGCATTTATATACATATAGGCAAAACACTTGTACACATACAAATTTTTAAAGATCAAAAAATGTTTTAAAAAAGATAAACATACAGCATAAGTTTTACAAGAAGAAAATCTTTCTTTTCTTTTGGCCATTTTGAGACAGGGTCTCCCTGCAGTCCCAGTTGGCTTGGAACTCACTATATAGACCAGGCTAGCCTTGAACTCAGAGATCCGCCTGCCTCTGCCTTCTGAGTGCTGGGACTAAAGGTGTGCAATACCACACCTTGTTTTCCTCTTAATTTTTTTTTTTTTTTTTTTGAGACAGACTGTTACTACGTAGCCCCAGCTGGCCAGTAACTTGTTGTATTGACCAGGCTGGCCTCAATTTCACAGAGCTCTGCCTGCCTGTCTCTGCCTCCTAAGTGTTGGGATTAAAAGCATGAGCCACCACATCCCAGAAGAAAATCTTTAAGATGTAGGGCTTAGTGAAGAGTTCTTAAACATAACATAAAAAACATTATTCATGGGGCTGGAGAAATGACTCAGGTTAAGGGCACTGGCTGCTCTTGCCAAGGACCTGGTTTTGATTCCCTTCACCCACATGGCAGCTAACAACCATCTGTAACTCCAGTTCCAGGGGATCTGATGCCCTTGTCTGGCCTCAATGGGCTCTGCACCTGAGTGTACTTACATACATGCAGGCTAAACACTCACCTACATAAGATTAAAAAATTAAAAAAAAAAAAACTCATGCATTTTTTTTTAATCAAATTTATTTCATGAAAACTAAATACTTTGGGGGGAACTGGCTACAAGATGGCTCAGCAGGCAATGGTGCTTACCACCAAGCCTGGTAACCTTAGGTTGATACTCAGAACACAGATGGGGACGATGAGAACTGGCCCCTGTATGTTGTCCTCACCTCGATGAGGTGAGCAAACACATACACACACAATTAATTAATTAACTAAACATTTTGTTGGCAAAAAGTCCTATTAAGGAGAAGAAAAGATGAGAGGTTGGAAGAAACTATTTGCAAATAATGTATCTGATATAAGAGTCATATTTAGAATATGTTTAGACCACTCAAAACTCAACAGTAAAAACAAAAACAAACAAAAAAACAACCCAATTATAAAAGGAGCAAAAGATACAAAGAGACATCACCAAAAAGGATAGATGGATAGTAAATAGTAAATAGAAAAAGATGTTCAACAACATCACTAGCCACCGGAAAATGCAAATCAAGCCCACAGTGGGGTTTCACTACACACCATCATAACAGCTAAAATGAAAAATAATGACAATACCAACACTGGATCTCGCACACACTGCTGGTGAGAATGTAAAATGGCAGAACACTCTGGAAGACAGTTTGGCAGTTTCTTTAAAACTTAACCATCAGCCGGGCATGGTGGCACATGCTTTTAATCCCAGAGATCCAGAGGCAGAGGCAGGCGGATCTCTGTGAGTTCAAGGCCAGCCTGGTCTACACAGTGAATTCCAGTCTAGCTGGGGTTACAGGGAGACACTGCCTTGAGAAGACCAAACAATAAAAATAAAAACTAAAACAAAAAACTTAACTATGACCCAGTTGTTCTCCTATGCATTTATCCCAGAGAAAAAGTAAACTCAGGTCCACAGAAAACCATATACACAACTAACTGTTCATAAGCAGATTTGTAATAGCTCCAAACTGGAAACAACCAAAAGAATCAATAGTATGTGGTTAAATGAACTGTGATGATACAGTGATACCCTGGAATACCACTTAGCAAGCATTCTTTTTAAAAAAAATTTTTTTTATTTATCATTTTTATTTAATGTGTATGAGTGTACTGCTTGCATGTGTCTAGGTGTACCCATGTTGTACCTCGGAGGTTAGTAGAGGGTGTCAGATCCCCTGAAACTGGAGTTACTGACAGTTGCTTAGCTGTCACATGGGTGGTGGGAATCAAACCCAGGTCCTCTGCAAGAGTGGCCAATGCTCTTAACAGCTGAGCCATCTCTCCAGCCCCATCTATAGCATTTTTGTAACAGACTCACTGATAAAAAGACAAGAATCTATCACGTTACACCAGTGTTACTTTCTAAGGTATGCTAAACAGTTATGTAGAAAATAACCACTGAGTGAAACTGGGCAATGGTCAAACCGAGATTCTCTGAGCTACCTCTGAAACCTCCTGTAAATCTAAATCTAATCACTTCAAGATCAAGAGCTTAAGGAGAAAAAATGGAAACCAAAACCAGTAAAATCTAATCCCAAAAGGAAAACAAAAAAAAAGCAAATTAAGTTCTACCCTAAGAAAATGTAACTTCTACATGACCAGCTAAAGAAAACAAGGGAAGACGGTCATCCCTCAGCTACTAGAACCGGCTCCACAACGTCCACAGGCACCAAGTCTGCAGGTGCTACAGTGTCTTATTTAAAGGGCACTGCATCTGCATACAACCTACCCACGCCCTTCCACATACTATAAGTCATGCCTACATTTTTGTTAACATAGTGTACATGCTCCACTATAGGTATATATGCTATACTGTAGATATACTGCATTATTTGGTGACTGACGAAAAATAACTGTATATGTTTAGCCATCGATGCAATTCTTTTTTTCAAATAAGTGATCACTGGTAGGTTGAATTCAAAGATGTGGAATCCATGGATAGGGAGGGCCAACTGTGTATCTATACCTATCACACGGTAGAACAGGGTAAGCAGACTGCAGCCTGTCAGCCAACTAACGCCTGTCACTTGTTTTTGCAAATAAAGATTTGTTGAAACAAACACAAAGAAAAAATTCCTGATGGCTTTAGTTATTCTGCAACATCACTGAACATCAGGTCAGTCTCACCTTCTAAGCTACACTTCTTACTAGAGCACAAAGAATTAAAATTCATTGGTCTTTTTTCCCCCTAAGTTTCCAAATCTACCAAAATAGAACACTTTTGAAGACACATTTACCATCTGCTATTCATTTTAATAAACTTCCTTAAAAATTCTGTTTCCTATAAAGTTCTCTCTTTCACACACACACACAATATAGCAGTACGGCTTAACTCTACTTTTTCCATACCTTGGAAAGTATCAAATCGCCTAACCATCGCACACAATCAACATAATTCCTATGTATGTCTCTGGTAGAAAAGTCAGGAAAGTGGATTTTCTGGGAAATAAATGGCCTGAAGGAAGAATGGAAATGTAAAAAGTTAAAAGTACAGTAGAATCACACTATCATTTCAGCTTGGGATTTATAAGCTGTCTTTCTGCAGTGCTCAGGGTTAAGCACAGTGTCTCAGGTGAGTAAGGCAAGCACTCCTACGACTAAGCTACATTAAGTTCAATTTTTCTGGTCTTTCTGAGACAGGGTCTTCCTGTAGCCTCAGCTGGCCTGGAACTGACTATGGAGACCAGGCTGGCCTCGATCTCACAGAACTCCACCTGCCTCTGCCTCCCCTGTGCTGGGATTAATGGCATATGCCACCATGCCTGGCTCTTAAGTTCAATTTTAAAAACTCCTAACACAAATATGACCCTTCTCTATGTTCTTAGCTAGTTTATTAGTTAACCTGTTTCTTTTTGAGAATTAAAAGTGTCTACTTTTTACTTTCTTCCAATATCAGTTTTCTAATCTTTTTTTTTTTTTTCACTTTTTCCTTTTAAATTTGGAGTAGGTAACATGGTTCAGCAGGCAGAAGTGCTGGCATGCAAGCCTGACAACCTGAGTTTCCAGAACCCATGGAAGGTGGGAGGCGAGAACTGTCTCCACAAAGTTAGCCTCTACCATGTGTACAAGTGCAGTGGCAAGCTCCTCACACACAATAATACCAATAAAGCTTTAAAAACTGATTTTTAACTTATATTTTCAAATTCAATTTTATTTTTGTTTTCTGATATATATAAAATGCAGCTGCCTAGACTAGTGATGTAGCTCAGTGGTAGAGTACTTGCCCAACACATGAAAGATGGTGGCTTCAATCCCCAGAACCAAAAAGCTCCCAACCACCACCACCACCACTAAAACTCTTATACCTGCTCAATCCTTTAAAATTAAGACTTTATAGCCTCCCAAAAGTCAAAATACCTAGAATACTTCAAGACATCTTTCTAGGAACCAGAAAATATCATTCCAAATTCTGGTGTATGCCTTGTAAATGAATAGCCTTGTAAAAGAACTATAAATCAATTACCTTCTAAAAGGTGGATGAACTGAACATAAAATCTTTTCCAAATAATTTCTGCATTTAAGAAACTAAAATGTAGTTCTAAATGTAGGCTGGACCTGGTGGCCCACGCCTTTAATCCCAGCACTTGGGAGGCAGAGGCAGGTGGAGCTGTGTAAGATGGAGACCACCCTGATGTAGAGAGGAAGCTTCAGACCAGTTGTGGCTGCTAGGACACCCTGATTCAAAACAAATAAACAAAAAAAAAGAAACTAAAATGTGCTCAATTTTTGCTTAAAGATATTTGTGAGAAAACAACAAGATACGCTGCTACTAACTCTGAAGCTAGTTAATTAAAAGTATATCTAACATTTCTAATCTAGTAAGTGAGTCTATGGTATTTATCTCTTTTTTGATTTGGGGGGGTGTCAAACCCACAGCATCACCCTTATTAGAGCCACACCCTCAAGCCTGTGATTCACTTTTTTTTTTTTTTTTTGGTTTTTTTGAGACAGGGTCTCCCTGTAGCCCCAGCTGTCCTGGAACTATGTAGACCAGGCTGTCCTTGAACTCACAGAGATCTGCCTGCCTCTGCCTCCCGAGTGCTGGGATTAAAGGTGTGCGCCACCACACCCAACTGATTCACTTTTTTTAATTAAAAAAAATTTTTTTTTTAATTTTATGTGTATGAGTGTAATGTCTACATGTAGATGCACCTGTGTCATGCAATGCCCTTGGAGGTCAGAAGAGGGCATCAAATCCCCTGGAATTAAGAGTTTTGGATGGTTGTCAGCCACCACGTGGGTGTTGGGAATCAAACCTGGGTCCTCTGCAAGAGCAATTAGTGCTCTTAACCTGAGCCATCTCTCCAGCCCCAATCACTTCTTATTTTAAGTGGCTGTAGAAGTGAGATATGCTATGAATTACTAGGGCAACTAATCCTCTCTTTATCTTTTTTATATAAAAATAAAATAACAGGCTGAGCTCATTATCTCTAATGATCCAATTCAAATTTTAAGGTCTTTTGTTAAGACATAAATTTCTGTGTGTGTGTATGCGCCTATGCATGTGGATATGGAGGACAGAGGACCTCAGGTGTCTTCCCTGGTACGTATTACTCTCCACCTTATTTTGAGACAGGGTCTTTCACTGAACTCAAAGCACCTAAGTTCAGTTAGGTTGCAGTCAGCAAGCTCCTAGAATCCACCTGTCTCTGCTTACCAAAACTGAAATTACAGGTATGCACAGCCATGCCCTAGGTGCTAGGGATCTGAACCCAGGTCTTTTTGCTTTTACAGCAAGCATTCTCACCCACTGAGCCATCGCCCTTCCCTTGACATGAATTCTTAATTGTTATAATTCTATTAGTTGCTTTTTAGTAGAGTGCATATTATAATAATACTAGTTAAAGCCCTCTCAAAAAGACCAGGACAACTTTGTAAACTAATTAAAAAATATAAATTTAACATTGTACCCTGGTGTTTAAGGGTAGAAATATGAAAAGTGCACTAATTGAGGCATTTCAAAAGTTTAGATTCCCCACTCTGTAGTACCATGAAATCAGACTCCTTAATTTCAATTTTCTCTACTTAATGAAAGAAACATCATTTACAGCAAAGTATATTATAAATTATAACTAGAAAGCCATTTTTTAAAACTTAATTTACTATCTTTGAATGAGAATTTATTAATGGGTCTTTTACCTTCTCTATTCCACAGTAAGGGCAGGTGATTAAAAAATTTTATACTTACAACTAAAAGAAGTCAAGTACATGCGCACCTAAATAAAAACAAGTGAAATGTACCACTAAATTAAGATGAAAACACAATTCAAAAATGACTGTGAAAAAATTAAAATAAAGGGCTTCTCCTAAGTGGGATGAATTTGATGGCAGCTAAGTGACACCCTGAAGTCAGGGAGAGAGCAGAGAAGTGCACCTGAAGCTGCACCAGGGGCTCATCCCACAGCACCAGGGAGGGAAGCATCCAGAACAGCAGCAGACAGGAATTTGTTACCTGTTAGTTTTATTTGGGTTATAATCATACGAGTCCTTAATTGCATTCATCATTCTCTTTGAATTGATCCTCCAAAGTTTCAGAGAGTGATCCATACCACAGGACATTATTTTTTCACCCAAAAGATCATAATCCTTGGTGTAAAACAGAAAAGTTTAAGTAAGTACAGTTCCAAATTATATTGGTCCAATTTGCATCTGATGCACAAGGTAAACTGCATTTCAATCCACAATACAACATTTGGTGGAGTTTAATGTTTTCCATATTTAAAGTTTTAATTACTTTGTTGCCAACAGATCACAATATGGAGGGCAAGAAAGTGAATTACTCGAATTTGTTGAACTCTATTTAAATATTTTTGCTTGATTTGTGGGGAAGTGTGGTGCAGGTGTCACCGCACATGCACAGAGGTCAGAGGACAACTTGGGGGGAGTCATTCTCTCCTTCTACTAAGTGGCTATTGTGGATCAAACGCAGGTCATCTCACCAGCACTCTAGTTCAAAGTTAAAATAGTTCAAAATTACATTGTTTTTAGAGATCGCTTTTTGAATAAATAAAGGAAATAAAGTCTAATAGAAAAGTAACAGATTTTAGCTTTCTCTTCTGTCTTTGTAAGGGGCTGGGGACTGGCCTTGAACTCAGAACCCCTCTGCCACAGCCTCCCATGGGATTACAAGCATGCACCACCACATCCCTGCAACTTTTCACTCATTTTTAATAGACAAAAAAAATCTATTATTTATTAACACTCTCATTTCATAGCTGGACAGGGAGGCCCAGAAATGCTATTTAATTTAGTATAAGGCACACAATGGATTCATGAAAACCTCACACACCTACCCTAGCAGTGAATGCCTGCGTTACAAAGTCACAAGTGTCTCTCCTGTTTGCATTTTGAGAATTAACAGAAAAGAGTTTTAAGGAAGAAGACTGTTTTCTATACTAAGCTAGATATTATACATTAATTCCAACTTGAAAGCTTTTTTACTAGAGCATTAGGCTTGGTGTTTATTGATGTTGGAAATATAGCTGTTGCTACTGCTAATAACTTCACTGTCAACATCAACAAAACATCCTTAGAGTCTATGGCTCTAAGTTATAATTCTTTTTTTTTTTTGTCTTTTTGAGATAGGGTCTCCCTGTATCCCATCACTATGTAGACCAGGCTGGCCTTGAACTCACAGAGATCCGCCTGTCTTGGCCTCCCAAGTGCTGGGACTACAGGCGTGCGCCACCATGCCCGGCTAAGTTACAATTCTTAATAAAGGGCAGTTCACTTGACTCCGATACAAAGCAGATGCAGAGGAGCTACCACAACTTTCAGAAAGATTCAAGCTAACAGGATAGCCCAAGGTGTTTATGATCCTCACAAGGCAGAAAAGCCTAAACCCTAGCAGTAATTTAGCACCTCCCATTAAAATGCTATATGCTTCAAAATATGGTATCCCTTTAAGTTGTTTAATAAAAAGAACCAAAGAGGCATAAAATGACCAAAGAAATCAAGTGAGCTAATATGGAATATATGCAAAGCTAACCAATGTTACCAACTTCGAACACTTACTAATACTGATATAAGATCATGAATTATAAAACAGCAACATAAAGACAGCATGCACTTAACTCTATACACACTCAGGGCAGCAAGAGGGCTCAATGAGTAAAGGCACTTGTCATCAAGCCTAAGGACAACAGTTTATCCCCAGACCTGGTAGGAGAAAGGACACCAGCACAAGCTGCCCTCTGATCCTTAGATGGGCCACGACACTTGCACATCTACCCACACAATTAATAAACAATAAATAAATAAATAAATGTCAAATAAACACCACCAACTATTGGTCTTGTATGCTACCTAAAAGTACAAGACTTATTTCAAAAAAAAGGGAAAAATTTTAATAGATACAGCTAGTTTAAGTTTTCTATCTTTACTAACAAAAACACCAAGAAAAAAAATTAACTTGGTGATTTTAAGAAAGGATTTAAAAGGAAAATGTTCGGTCTGGTGGTGCGTGTCTAAAATCCTGATATTTAGGAAGCTGAGTGGGAGGATGAGATTTCAAGAGCAGCTATAAGGTAAGACCCTATCTCCAAAAACAACATAACAATTCTTCCATGAGAATCATGGCACTTGTATCAAGTCCAAGCAATCTTTATAAACTGAAACCAAAAGAGTCTTTCCTTGCTCTGTTCCTTTACCCATTAGATTAAAACACAAATGAAACGACAGCCTGGCAGGCGGGATGAAGAGCAAGCATGTGTCCTACGAAGGAAAGAGGTCAAGGTCATTCTCCACAACTTCAACTTACAGCACTCAGAACTTCATCTCTGTGCCCTTCTACACCTCCAAATATTGCCACCAGAGTGTCCGTCTGGATATTCCATAACCGTAAAGCATGATCTAGTACAAATAAAAAGTTAAGGTGAACTTTTATCATTCATTTACAGAGAATTTTCAATATGCCCTTAAAAGACTAAAAGCTATAAAGGTTTAGAATGAAATTATGCACAAAAGACTAAGAACGCCATCTATACTGTGCAACAACTTAAAAACATGTCACATGTAGAATTAACCAGAGAAATGGAAGTTTTCTTAAATAGTTTTAGGTATATTTACCATGAATAATTTAATATACCAATTTGATGGAGATAACTTCTGATCAGAAAATAAGTTTAGATACTTTCTATAAATAACTTTATACCATAGAACAAAATACTTTTTCCTTTACTATACTGACATTAATAAATTAAAGATATTTGTAAGATTTCTACAAAAAAGCCAAAATTGTGACTGAAAACTTTAAAAATTATCAAGCTAGCACTGAGGATATAGCTCAAAGTACTTGCTTAGTATACCCAAGGCCCAGGGTTCAATCCCTAGCACTGAAACGCAAGGTAAAATCCCTCTTCCCCTACTGCAGTGGGGAGATCCAAAATCAAAACTAAGACTTCGTGCATGCTAGACAAGCACTGTAATAGTAAACTATACCCCACAATCCCAATCTTTTCTATTAAATATGAATAAGGAGTATGTATGGAAAGAAGTGTCACACAATGCTTGAAATGTAAGAATGGCAATGGCCAGAAAGATGGTGGGGGTGGGAGGCAGATGTAAAGGTGCACATTGCCAAGCCTGACAGCTTGAGTTTGATCCCTGGGACTCACATGGTGGAGTGAGAGAACCAGCTCTCGCAAAATGTCCTGACCTCTACATGTGCACCACGGTATACACACACATAAAATAAATGTGAAAAAGTTTTTAAAAAGGCTGGGCGTGGTGACACACACCTTTAATCCTAGCACTCACGAGGCAGAAGCAGGGGACCTCTGTGAGTTCGAGGCTAGCCAAGGATACATAGTGAGACCCTGTCTCAAAGAAAAATAACAATTTTTTTAAGTATCAACACTCTAAATGAATAGGACTATGTTAGGTAAATAACACCAAGTGGCAATAGCATACTGTGCCAATAAGTAGAAATTAGCACTGCTGGAAAAAGGATTTGATTCTAATCATTTACATTTTTATTCATCTTGGTTATAAGCCCTCTCTCAAACCTAGGACAGGTAACTCTATTTATCAGTATGAAGCTAGACTGTTTTCAGAGCAATTGTGTATATTTTCCATTCCCACCAGCAATGTTTGAAGAGTTTCGTTTTCTCCACATCCCAGTCAACACCTTGTTTGCCTTTTTTATTACACATTCTGAGCATAAAGTGATATCTCATGCTTTGGGTTTGATTTTCCCTAGTGATTAATGTTGCTAAACATCTTTTAGTTCATTTTTTTCCTCACTGGAACTTTCGGCCATTTTTTGTTTATTATTTTTGAATTGTTGATAAGGGTCTTAGTTTGTAGCCCAAGACGGCCTGCACTCAGGAAGTAGACGAAGCCAGCCTTGAACCTGCAGCACCCTTCCTGCCTCTGCAACCCAAGTGCCGGGACACAACTGTACCCAACAGTTGAGAAGCTCTTGATACAAGTCTCATAATAGACATGTATAGATATTTTCTCCTGATCATACGTACGTTATCTTTTACTTTCTCATAGCTATCATTTGTAATAAAATTCCTCTTATTTTGAAAAAGCTGTTTGATTTTTAGAATATTCTTGTTATCTCAGCATGGTGGTGCATACCTATAATCCCAGGACTTGGGAGGCAGAGGCAAGAGGATTACGGTGAGTTCTGAACTACATAGTAAGATACTGTTTCAAAAAAATTAAAATAAAAAACCAAAAAGGTTACTAATGTCACAATAAGTGAAGATCAGGGTTAAAAATTTCCATATGAAAACAAATGAGGTACTATGGTCAAGTCACTGGCAGAGGGATTTCTGAGCCCCAATACTGTTTCTAATAATAAAGCATTGCTGTTCTTAGGGGGAGTGATTTCCAAACTTCAGTCTTTGTAGGTGCAAAGAAATGACACTGAACATTTTCATACTGGAGTTTGTACTTTGGATTTTGGTTTGGGTGCTAGGGATGGAACCCAAGGCCAAGGCACGAGGCAAGCATTCTATCACTGTGCTACACCCCAGCCAGTTTTAATTTGAGGTCATTTTGTAATCTGAATAGTTTGAAGGGGAGGTTACAGGTTTGACAAGCCTAAAGCTGAGTGTGGTGGCTCACTATTTTAATCTCAGCATTTGGGAGGCTGAAAGCAGAAGAAATACCTTAAGTTTAAGGCCAACCTGGGCTACAGATACAGCTTGTCTCAAAAGAACCAAAAAAGTATGGACTTAATCAGAATGAAGTGGAAATGTACAGAGATGACACAATCAAGAACAGAATGTGGAAAGACGCTAACACATTTCAGAAAGCTCACAAATGACCAGAGTGGCTGAACGGTCTGTCTAAACCTAGATAGACTTACAGTAGTAGCAGTAGAGGCTTAAAGCAATGTAATGCTTTCTTTTAGTAGGGAACAGTTTAGAGTTCATGCTGGAGAACTCAGTAGTTTACAGTTCAAGGAATTTTAACCAGTAATGGTGCATGCCTGTAATCTGCGTACTTGGAAGGCTGATACAAGAATGTGCTGGTTAGCTGCAGTGTCAACCTGATACACCTGGAAAGAGGCAATTCAAACTGAGGAACTTCCTACACCAGACTGGCAGGTGACCGTGTCTATGAGGTTTTCTCGATGAAGGAGGGCCCAGCCCACGCTGAGCAGTAATTCCATCCCTAAACAGGTGTCGGGGTTATATAAGGTCAGGTGTGGTATCACTTGCCTTTAATCCCAGCACTTAATCTCAAAACTTGGGAGGTAGAGGCAGGTGGATCTCTGTGAGATAGAAGCCAGAGTGATCTACACAGAGTTCCTGGGCAACTGGGGCCACAGGAAGACCCTGTCTCAAAACAGGACAGCTGAGCAAGCCAGGGAGCAGCACTCCTCCTGCTTCACGCCTGCACTCTGCCGACACCCCCAATGACGGACTGTCACCTGGACATGTAAGATGCAATCAGCCCTTTCCTCCACAAGTTGGTTTTGGTCAGAGTGCTTTATCACAGCAGCAGAAAGCTAACCAGAACAAGGAAGAGGTCTGTAAGCTTATGGCCTCCTTGGGCTAGTGACATAGTGAACCTGGGATACAAATAAAAAACTAACCTAAAAGGCAGAGGAGGGGGGACAGAAGAAATTTTACAGGTATTCATAAAACACAAGTTTTGTTTTGTTTTTGTTTTTTAATAAAAAAGATACTCAGGCACAGTGATGCATGCCCTTATCCCAGCACTCAGGAAGCAGAGGCGGGCAGATCTTCGTGAGACAGAGGCCAGCCTCATCTACATAGTGAGTTTTAGCCCAGCTAAGGCTACAGAGAAACCCTGTCTCAAACAAATGAATAAATAGTAAGGATCTTCCATGCAGTACTTCTTTTCTGATTATTTTGGTTTTATGTGCATGAGGGCACGGGTGCTGTGGAGGAGTGGGGGAGTTAGAGAAAAACTCTGTAGAGCCAGGTGTTTTCTCTTGTATGGAGGGTTTCCAAAGACTGCCAGGCTTTATCCACTGAGCCATCTAATCAGTCCCATTTTATTTAACACACAGCACTTCTTATAACATGACTAAATAGACTGATGGCAACTGAATTCTTCTGTTTTCAAATCACAACTTTCATGGTATGTCATTCAGAACTGATAAAGCAATGTAATTATTCACATGAGGATAAAGTATTAGTAACAAGGCTAAACACAATCTTGTCCGGGTCCGACTGTCACCAGGTATAGGCCTAATTCATGAATCCTTTCTCTCTTTCTTGGTTTGTGAAATGCTAGTGTAGCCTGAGATTTTTTTTCCTACAAAAACCAACTACCACTGAACACAATTTGTCCCTTAAGCATTTCTGTAAGCTTACCTTTACTTACTGACAGGAGAAGATTTGGGTCTCTTGGGTGGAATTTCAGCTCATTGATAGCATTTCCATGTCCGACATAGTGCTATAAAAATGTAAAACATTCCAAGTTTCATATCTCAAGCAATAAATTCTCTTTCATAAATCTTAAGGAAAAAATAAGGCTGGAGATGTAAATCAGTGGTAGAGCACTTGCCTAGGACACCCAAAATCCTGGTTCAATCTCCAGCAACAGGGCCCTCTCACCCAACCACCCTCCCAAAGAAGTTTCACTTAAAGTATTAATTCTCAATCTTGGATGCATAGTAAAGTCATCCAACAAACTGAAAAAGAAAATTGGACGGATGAGCCAAGGCTTAGGTTAACAACAGTAGCGTTTAAAAGATCCTCAAGTGATTCTAATTCGCCCTAGGGTTAAAAATGTCAAATAAAAGTGATTTGTAAAACCTGTCTTCCTAGCAGCTTCTTACACAAGATGCCCTGGAACCCACAACTCCCACTTTGGATGCCTTGGAAAAGCTGTTACTGTTCAGTTCAAGACTCTCAAAGCAAAGCAAGGGGGGAAATTTAAACAAACAAAACAACAGAAAATGCTTTATAGATATTAAAATTTTCCTAAGGGGTTCCTTAATTTATGTATCTAAATATTACAAAGGTGATTATAAAGAAAACAATGGGGCTGGTGAGATGGCTCACTTGACCCTACACCTGATGACCTCAGCTGGATCTGTGGGACCCTCGTGGTAGAAAGAACTAACTCCACTCACCTCCACATTAGAGGCATACTAGTATACGCCTCTTCACACATTTTAAAAAAAAAATGAATAAATATAACAAAACACTTTTAAAGAAAACGAGGTACAAATAAAATTAGAAATTTTAGTAACTGATTCCATTAAAGTCATCACAGTCAACTTTTTTTTTTTGGTCTTTTTTTGAAACAGGGTCTCCCTGCACCCCCCAGTCAATTTTAATAGATGTGTATTCAAAAGCAGATTTGACCAGAAAACCCACCTTTATGCACTGCATCGTTATGGGATTAATTATCCTTATTATGCCTCTTGATCCAGCAACAGCCAGCAGAGGATGGCTGGTATTGCTATCATAGGTCCATGCACAAGTGTAAAAATTTTCATCAGCCTAAGAAATGCCATAGTTAAGAAATACAATTTATTTTTGAAAAATAAACATGTCAACGATTACAATAAATGGAGCTTTCCAAACAGCTGCTAAGGTTTTTTGACATTTAAGCTCTCATTTTTTTTTTTCTTTATACAGAAGTTACACACTGGTGCCGGGCATGGTAGTGCACACCTTTAATCCCAGTACTCAGGACGCAGAGGAAGGGGGATCTCTGTGAGATCGAGGTCAGCCTGGACTACATATCGAGTGCCAGGTCAACTAGGGCTAGAGGGAGCCCTATCTCAAAAAGATTAAAAAAAAAAAAAAAAAAAAAAAAAAGAAAAAGGCACACTGGTAGCCAGATACGGTGGCACACACCTGAAGCACAGAATGGTTATCCCACTACTCAGGAGGCAGTTGCCTCAAGTTCAAGTTCTAGGGCCACACAGCAAGGCCCTATCAATGTTTACAAATGGCAATTTAAGGTCTCAAATCCATACCAAACGAGCCCCTCCCTGTCCTTCCACTGTACTTAGCTGTTTGCAGTACTCTACTCCACTCATCTGTCCAAACAGTAGGAAACAACAGCTACTCAAGTGGGGATGACTGTATTCCGATAAAACTTTATTCACAAAACTAGGTGGCCAGCCTGGAGGCTATACTTGTTGACCTTCTAACCTGATACTGCTATGAACCTATAAATAATCCATTTCCCACTCTTTTCAATATGAGAGCTTCCTAGCAATACAACAGTTCACTTATTTCCATATACTCCACACAGGAAATGTCCTCACCTAGCCTTGGCACACTTCTTCAAATGAATGTGGAAGAAACATCACTTAGCTTTGAAAATTTCTTTTTAAAAAACAAAACTAATTTTCACAAAAGATCCCTTAAAATATTTATTTTTATTTTATTGTATAAGTGTATTGCCTGCATGTGCAGTACACCTGTGCATGCAATGCCCTCGGAGAGCTGATGAGGGCATTGGATCCCCTGAAACTGGAGTTATGGATGGTTGTTAAGCTGCTAGGTGGATGATGGGACTTGAACCCGGGTCCTCTGTAAGAGCGGTCAGTGCTCTTAACTGCTGAGCCATCTCTCTATCCCTAAAAAATTCATGTGTCTAATCCTTTGGTTTTTAAATTTCTCCCTTTTCATTTTCCAATATTTTATTTCCTAAATTAAACATTTATTTTTTTCCATCTAGGCTTTGTTGATCAGATACTTGGAATGGCTGCCAGTCAAGTTCACTATTAAAACTATACTGAAATTGTACAGTTCTAGAGAAGATCAAACAAGCAAGAGTAATTTAACTTGTCTCAGCTAACATTTCCACCATGTAATTTTAGTGCTCCCACCTCCAGTCAACCTGTACTCACCCATCACAGCCACCCCATTCTAAGATAAGGAAAACTAGACACTAGTGTTTTCTTGGGTAAGGGTGACCTGATAGAACTGTACTAACTAAAGATAAGCAGGGCGGTAACTTCAGCAAATTAATTTCAAAAAGTTTTAGTGCACTTATTCAAATAAATGTCTTTGACCAAAGATATCAAACACCCAGGAAAGGATACATCAGCATCCACGTATGATTGCAATAACCGGATTTCTCCTTGTGAATGGCATTCATACAAGGTAACCTAAGGAAATAAAAACATGTTAAATGTACCTAAGGTACAGAAACATTCTGTTTGGCTTTTAAACATTTTAGTCACAATTATAACTTAAAGATACTCCAAAAACAATTGCTTTAAAAGAGCTTCTTTAAACTTACCAAAGCCATTATAAAGCCTAACATGCTTTTCATACATTAAACACTCTGGTAATAATTGTGATTTATAGTCATTTAAATGTACATTTAATCCATATAATTGCACCAACCTTTCTCAAAGTGAGTAGAGCTCAAAACCTCAAAGTAATTATCGTTTATCATCCTTTAATTAAATTTCTAATAAAAGTCTTTGGCACCATTAAATGACAAATAGTTAAGAAACATTACATATATATTGAAACATCACCTGATACTCCATAAATATGTATAATTTTTGATGTTATGTATCAGTCCATAGAGTTTTTTAAAGGTTTGGGTAATTATAGATTATTAGTAACATACAAAAAGCCCACAATCTGCTTAATAATGAATTTTCTTAAACACAGCTAATGAAGTATTAACTTCCTTATACATGGTGGCCATTTTCAAGTGCCATATATTGTAAAATAAAAATAAATACACCTGGGCTAGAGAGATGGCTCAATGGCAGAGGAACCCGGTTCAATTCCCAGCACCCACATCACAGCTAACAATTGTCTTTAAGTCCAGTTCCAGGGGATTCAACACCCTCTTCTGACCTCTGCAGGCACTGGATGACATGGGTATACTTACATACATGCAGGCAATACACTCATACACATAAAATAAAAAATATTTTAAAAAATACACTATCAGCCAGGAGTGGTGGCGCACATCTTTAATCCCAGCATTTGGGAGGCAGAGGCAGGTGGATCTCTGAGAGTTCAAGGCCGGCCTGGTCTACATAGTGAGTTCCAGGCAGCTGGAGCTAAAGGGAGACCTGGTCTCAAAAAGACCAAAAAAAACCAAAACAAAACAAAACGCTATCACAAATCTGTAACATATTATCTATCACTATTATTAGTTTTGGTTTTTGGAAAAGAGGGCACACAACTCAGGCTGGTCTCAAACTTGCTACATTTAGCCAAGATTGACCTTCAATTCCTGATCCTCCTGCCTCCACCTCACAAGTGCTAGGACTACAAGCATCTGCCACCACACCCAGCTTATTTTTGTTTTTTTCAAGACAAGGTCTCTATATAGTCCAAGGTTGCCTTGAACTCCATCTGTAACTCACTATGGTCCAGAGCAAAAACATCCTTTTGCCCCAGCCTCTTGAATGATGGGATTGTAGGAGTTACCACAATACTTGGCTAATGTTAAAAAATTTATTATTTTTATTATAAGTTTCTCCCATTTTCTTCATAGTTTATAGTCAGTAACTTTAGCAAAATTTAAAAAGAGGGACCAGCAAAATGGCTCAGCAGGTAAAGGTGCTTTGCTGACTGACCTGAGTTCCATCCCAGGTACCCATATAGAAGGAAAGAACTTATTTAGACAAGTCATCCTCTGACCTTCACACATACACATGGGTGTGAGTGCACATGCACATCCACACTTAAATAAATATAATTTAATTTTTTTTTAATTTAAAGAATGTATTGGAGCTGAGTGTGGTGGCACATGCCTGGAATTCTAGCATATGGGAGGCAGAAATAGGCCAATCTCTGAGAGTTCAAGGCCAATACAGCAATTTCCAGGCCAGTAGAGCTACATAGTGATACAATGTCTCCAAAAACCAAAGGGATGTATTAGAATACCATGAAAGTCCTGCATATCAGCATCACTGCCTCTACACTAACATTCTGAAAAACATGACTTTTATGGATGGTAATTAGGTTATATCTTACAAAATAATTCTGTTTTACTTTTCCTCTTCCAGATGGAATTCTAACTATAGGACTTTCCATAATCCAATAAATTATATAACCTTCAATGTCATTTTAAATGAAAGTACATTCCTCTTTAAAAGATTATTTTTACTACTTTTAATTGTGTGTGTGTGTGTGTGTGTGTGTGTGTGCAGTTGACTGCAGAGTTCAGAATAAGGCACTGGATTCACTGGAGCTGGAGTTTCAGGCAGTTCTAAGCTGTTGGATATAGATGCCAGGACCTGAATTCATAGAAGAGCATTAAGTAATCTTAACTCCTGAGCTATCTCCTCAGTCTGAAAACAGATTCTTTTTGTTAGGTTAGAAATACTATTGTTAGGAAGGTTAGGACACTACAACAAACATCTTAAATATTTTAGTAATGATCATTTCTATTTAGCCCAAATATATCAATTCTGGTATTACCATGGCCAAGCTGGTGAACTATGATAATACCAGGTTAATGTGATGCCTTAAAAGTGGAACCGCCAGGCATGGTGGCGCACGCCTTTAATAATCCCAGCACTTGGGAGGCAGAGGCAGTTGGATCTTTGTGAGTTCAAGGCCAGCCTGGTTTACATAGTGAGTTCCAGGACAGCTGGGGCTACAAGGAGACCCTGTCTCAAAAAAGACCAAAAAATAGAAAAGAAAAAGTGGAACAAAAGTTAAAAGAAAAAACAACAACAAAAAGCCCAGGTTGGTGACACACACCTATAATTCCAGCATCTGGGAGACAGAGACAGGAAAATTGCTCTTAAGTTCAAGGACAGTGTGGTCTACATACAGAGTTCTGAGCCATCCCGGGCTATGGAGTAAGGCTTTGTTTTCAGAAACAAACAAATTTAATCAATGGGCTACGTTGCCAACTAGAAAAGAATAGCTTCAATCTTTATATAAAGCTACATTACTTTTCCTTTTAATTGTTATTTTCAAAGACTCTGAGAACTAAACAACCAGCAACACGCTACATATCACACAACCTGTGTTTGGCTGAACAGCGAGCAAGGTTGTTCTCAGCTCTCGACTTCAGTGGTAATGTTAAGAATTTCAACAATTTTGTCAAACTGTAAAAACACTGGAGTCTTACATATAATTAGAGCTTCTTGAAAGTAGTGCAAGGAAGACTAGTGAGGTCAAATTTTACTTTTTTGAAAAAAAATATGTAACAAATTTCATCGAGTAGACACAAGCTTCCTTGATTCTTAAAACCGTTGGGGGGTGGGTAGCTCAGAAAAATGGTGACATTTAAAAAATACTGACGACTCCCTTGTTCACAAGCTAATTTTCACTAAGAACAGAAAAGCAACACTAATAAAGAAACAAATACAACAAACAGCAGTGTACCTTAAAAACCAATACTGTAGCTGGGTGTGGTGGTGCACGCCTGCAATCCTATCACTCCTGAGGCAGAGGGCAGGAGGACCGAGTGTGAGGCCAGCCTAGCTACAAAGCAAGAGACAAAAAGGGAGAGTGGTGGTGGGGGGGGAGTAGAGAGATGGCTCACTGGTTAAGAGGACTTACTGTTCTTTCAGAGAACCCGAGTTTGACTCCTAGCACCCATATTAGGTAGGGTCACCACTGCCTGTAACTCCAGCTCCAGGGGACCCATCACCCTCTTCAGGCCTCCACCCTCTTCAGGCCTCCACAGGTTCCAGCACAAATGTGCACATACACATACACAAATTCTTAAAATAGAAAAAGACTCCTTGGAAAGAACTAGACAATCTTCTTCTCTTCTCCACTTATTTAGAAGTGGATGGAATGAATAAATAGTAAGTCTTTGCAATCTACCTGTTCAGCCCCTGTAACTAAAACTAAACAGCCAATGTTAAATGTACAGGTGCATTTCTCTACACTCCTCTCAGTTCAAGATTCTTTTGGTATCCCTAAAAACAAATTCAAGCACAGTGCTTGGGAGGCAGAGGCAGTCAGATCTCTGTCAGATCAAGGCTAGCCTGGTCTACCTATTGAGTTCCAGGCCAGCTGTGGCTACAGGGAGACCCTGTCTCGAAACAAACAATTCAAGGTCTGGCAAGATGGCTCAGTGGGTAAAGGCACTTCTGTCAAGGCTGGCCTCAGTTCAGGTCTGAAACCCACAGGGTGAAAGGAGGGAAACTCTAACCTCCACACGTGTACCATGGCATGTGTGTACCCACACATGCACACCCACAAAATAAAGAAAAATGTGTAACTAAAAAAACAAAGTTATATGTTCATTACAAATAATTAACATCTTCAGAACCAGCAAGTACACTGAATATAGGCTTTCATTTATAGAGCAATTAATTACATTGTTCTTTTTCAGATATTCAAAGTATTTATAAAGCAAACCATAAAGCCTGCTTCATAACAGCTATAAAGATGTGTTTCCCAGTCATGAATAGTTTTAACTTGATAATTTCTTGAAAGTTTCATTCTTGTCATATTGTTAAGCCAGGTATTCAAAATTTATTTCAAAAATCACTCCATTTTGATACTATATTAACAGATACAAAATAATCACACCAATTACCAAACAGTCCCCTTAACACTCACTCTGTTGCTTCCTACAGTTGCAAATACTAACGGGTCACCTTCTTTACTGTGCCAGTTAAATTGAACTCCAAACAACGGCTGGTTATGATCTTCCTATAAAATAATCACGAAATAAGAAAAATTTAATATATTTTAGGAAACAAAAAACATTAGTAAACTAACCTTTACTTACCCTTTTTCCTCTTCCCAAAATGTAGTCTATTATTATTTGGCGTATCATACACAAAATGACTTCTGACACTAAAACCGCAAGGCACTATACGTTTCTGTGTCTTAAAATATTATGTATGAGAACATTTCTCTAACAAAGACTTTCTGATCTAAGAAACTATATATCATGTCTTTAACCTAGCACTTGAGAGGCAGAGGTGGGCGGAACTCTGTGAGATCAAGGCCTGGTCTGCATAGTGAGTTCCAGGCTGGGACTATAGGCAGACCCTGTCAGGAAAAGAAAGAAGGGGGGGAGGGAAAGGAAGAAAAGAAGGAAACAACTAACAAAGGCTTTAAGGAGATTACAGCTTCTTTGGTATCTGCTGAATTTTATTAGACTTAACTCTTCTCTTGGAAAGTGGGGCTCATCACACTCCACCTAAACCACTGCTTTTTATTAGTCCTATAAAAACACTTTTAAGTAATCTTTAAATAACCTTAGATTTGGGTCATCATAGAAGATATCATCCCAATAAGACTATTTCGAACAGTGGGAGTGTATGGAATGGACTATACCTTCATAGATACACAAGCAGAAATCTGTAAGAATATATATATTTTTTAGTGCTAGGTATTAAAGGCAGGGCTTGAAGGCATGGTAGACACATGCTCTACAGAATTATTTGCTCATTTTCAAAGTTGTATTTCAGATTTAGGACTCTGCTGGCAATCTGTTATTTAACACTAACTTTCACGCTCACTTTAAAGCACTTTTTTTTTCACTTTTGAAGTTTTACAGCTTTCATTTTCTTATCACTTGAAAACCCACAGCTTTAGGCTTTTGAAATACTTCAGTTTTAACACTGGAAGTGTTAAAAACATCTTCCAGGGCTGGAAAGATGGCTCAGCAGCTAAGTGTGTGTACTCCTCTTGCAACTGACTCAGGTTCTGTTTCTAGCACCCATGTTGGACAGCTCATCACCACCTGTAACTCCAGCTCTAGGGGATCATATACATTCTGTCTCTGCAGGCAATGCACTCATGTGCACATACCCACACAGACACACATGCATACATGATTTAAAAAACAAATACTGGGACTGGAGAGATGGTTAAGAGCACTGGTTGTTCTTGCAGAAGACCCGGGTTCGATTCCCAGCACCCACATGGCAGCTAACAACCGTCCGTAACTCTAGTTCCAGGGATCCAACACCCTATTCTGTCCTCCACAGGCACTACGCGACATGGGTGCACTTACATGCAGACATAACACTCATACACATAAAATAAAAATTAAAAATTAAATAAACAAATACATAAAAACACCTTCCAGAGATAATATCTAAAACTAAGAACACATGTAAATAACAACACAATATAATGAGACTAAGTTCTCTCCTTTTACACAGTATGATTAAAATACTGAGCACTTGGGTAGGGCATGTGGGCACATACCTTTAATCCCAGCCCTCAGGAGGCAGGGGAAGGCAGATCTCTGAGAGATGGAAGCCAGTCTGTTCTACACAGTGAGTTCCAGGCCAGTTGGGGCTACAGGGAGACCCTGTCTTAAAAAACACAATACACACACACACACACACACACATACATATGCACACGCACACTCACACACCCTAATCCACATGACAGAACTTAAAAAAAAAAATTCAGTATTTTTAAATTTTAGTTTATGTATATGAGTATATTGCCTGCATGTACGTAAGTGCACCCATGTTGTACAATGCCTGCGGGGATCAGAAGAGGACATTGGATTCCCTGGAACTGGAGTTATAGATGGTTGTTAGCCACCATGTGGGTTCTTAGAATCAAACCCAGGTCCTCTGCACCTGAGCCATCTCTCCAGCCCCATGAGAGAACTTTTTATAAAGTTAATTAAATTGCTACTGAAAACAATAATTTAAATGACCCTAGCTCCTTATTGCCCCCTAAATACTGCATATATAAGTTATTAAACTAGACGTGTTGGGGTCACACCTGCAGCCCCATCCCCAAGGAGGCCAAGTCAGGACTGCTGCTAGTTTGGGGCCAGCCTGGGTTAGAGTGAGACCTGTCCAAAAACAAAAGTTTTTTAAACTTCACTATTTATTTATTTACTGCTGGGGATGTGGGCATGTGGAGGTCAGAGAAAACTTGCAGGAGTCAGTTTCAAGGATTAAACTCAGGTTGTCAGATTGGCATCAAGTACCCTTACCTACTGAGACTTCTCACTGGGTCAAAAGTTTAAGGTTTATTTAAATGCCACATCTTTTTCTTATAAGACAATTATAAGTAAAAGTAAAAATGTTTGAGAAGTACACAAAGTTAAGGTGTGTTTCAATTACGAACGTTTAGTCAAGGTTCACATTCAGCTCTTTTTAATGATTGGTGTCAGAAGTGGCTCATGTTTTGAAGGTTTACCAGGACATAAAGAGTAACATTCCTTATAATTGTTTATTTGAATCAACAAACAATAAAGGAACACCAGCCTATAGTACTCAGTACAACACATTTAAATTAAAACACAACAAAAAATAAAGCCAAAATGGTTAAATGTGTAGCACAGTATAATAAGCAATTTGAGCTACAATAAACAACCTTCAAAACCCTGTAATTTTATAGTATTTTAAACCTGACTGTATCTTGTGTAAGTCCGCAGCTTAGCCTTGGGCCGGAAGGCTTTCTCACATACCTTGAGGCTGTTCACACACTTGAAAGAGTATTTGCATTTCTTTGATTTCCATTTTCCCTTTCCCCAGCTTTTCCTGCCAGGTGCATTAGGTGTGTTTGTAGGTGTGTCAGGGCGTTCAGTGTTGGTACCACTCTCGATACTGACAGCATCATCCTGTAAGCAATGAAGGGAAAACTGCATGAAACAGACACTTCATTTAGAGGCAAATGGCTGTAGTGCCAGAAAGATGGTGACTAACATAAAAGTCTACAAAAAAAGGAAAATTTTATTTGACTCCAAGAAAGGCGTAGAAAAGTAATCCAATTATGTATTAGAGAATTGCGGGTGTTTTACATGGCAGCAAAAGTAAAAGCAAAATATGAAGAATGGTAATGGAAGACAATGTTGTCTTTAAACCAGACATTGGCCTGTGTCGGCAGCTTGAATGTCCTGGATGGCTTACTTTCTTCAGCTCTGCACAGATGTCACTGCTAGAGGACAGTGGAGAGGGACTAACTGTTCTCTTGCTGTAAGGGTTGTTGGGGTTCAATACTTCAATAAATATATAAGAATAAATCTGACTGATGTACACGTCCTCATAATTTATTCGGCTGATGTCAAGTTAAAACGTGAGGGTAGGAACTGGGCATGGTGGCACATACCTTTAGTCCCAGCACTCAAGAGGCAGAGGCAGGTGGGTCTCTGTGAGTTCAAGTCTGCCTGGTCTACATAGCGAGTTTCTGGGGCTACAGGGAGATCCTGTCTCAAAAAGACCAAAAAACAAAACAAAAACCCATGAGGGAAGGAACTAGGCTTGGTGGTTCTGTCCCAGCACCCGGGGGGAGGCAGAGGCATGGGACTTCTGTGAGATGGAGGCCAGCCAGGTCTTACATAGTGAGTCCCAGGCCAGCTGGGGCTACAGAGGCCCTGCCTCAATAAATAAATAGGGTTAGGGATGGCTCAGCAGCTAAGAGAACTGGCTGCTCTTGCAGAGGACCCACATTCAGTTCCTAGCACCCACATGGCAGCTAAGAACCATCCAAAACTCCAGTTCCAAGGGATCCAATGCCCTCTTCTGATTGCATGACATGGGTGCACTTACATGTAGGCAATACACTCACGCATAAAATAAAAAATTAATAAAATATTTTTAAAAAGAAATGAAGGGGGCTGGAGAGACGGCTCAGAGTTTAAGAACATTTGTTGTTCTTGCAGAAGACTTGGATTCAAATCCCAGCACCCACATGGTAGCTAACAACTGTCCGTAACTACAGTCCCAGGGGATCTGACAGCCTCTTCTGACCTCCGTGGGCATTGCACAACATGGGTACACTTATCAACATGCAGGCAATACACGCATACGCATAAAATAAAAATAATAAATTTTTTAAAAGTTAAAAAAAAATGAAAAAGTAAAAGTAAAACAACAACAAAAACCACGAGGGTAGGAACGTGACCACTTAAGACAAAAGTGTTAATGCTTCCTATTTAGATCAAGTTTTGGAAAAAATTTCTGTTAGGAAAATTCTGCTTATTTATAAACACAAATCATCTGGAATTTTTTTAACTCCAAATATTTTATGCTGTATGTAAATGAGATTTGCCTAACAGTTCCAAAGTAATACTACTCATATATCTGAACTTGAGATTCTATAGTATAATCTGTCCACATAGAAATATTACTGTAGGAAACAGTGAAAACTCTCCATTCCCAAGACAAACTAAGTTTTCTTTGGAATAAAAAGGATTCCAATTTGTTACCTCAAGGGCAATAGTACCTAAATTGATTCGGGAGAAACCCTTTTGTCAGTGTTTATTAACTTCAGTTAAAGTGAAGTCTGAATTCTAGAGGAAACGCTGCCTTTGGGGTGGGTCTGTTTCTAGGTTACTACTTCCTGAAGCTGGTTTTATGTTATAAAAATAAATTGAAGTGTCAAAAGGTATTTAAAAAGCATTAATTCATTAAAAAGAAAAAGAGTTCTTGAGATGCTTCAAACATCAAATGGCTCCAAAATGAAATGTCTTTTAAGAAAATACACTACTCTAGCACCAAAAAAAAAAAAAAAAAAAAAAAAAATTAAGTTGAACACAGTCACCTGTAATCCCAGTACCCAGGGTGTAGGGGCAGGACAGCCATGAGTTTGAGACCAGCATGGACTACAATGTGAGTCTACCTCAAAAAAGAATGAAATAATCAGCACAAAGTAGGTACTTAATAAACATCTGAAATAAAATGTAAATATATAGTCTTTACTGAACTAAAAATGTAAAAATTTTTAAATTAGGTTTCTAAACTGCAATCAATTTTAGTTAGGCATGTTATGCCAGCACTTAGGATGCAGAAGCAGGGCAATCTGGGCCAGCATGGGTTACAGAAGACCTGACTTTAAAAAGAAAAAAAAAAAAAAAAAAAAAACACTTTTTAATCTCTATTTCTCTTAACCTGTCAATTGTGTTTAATGTGCAAAACCTTTTTGATTTTCTATTTTCAGAATAAGGATTCCATCCACTATCACAACTGCTGTCGATCTTGAAAAATAGGTCTTCCACTTATACCAGTGGTTCTACTGTACCAAATCACTGGTACAACTTAACTGTGCCAAGAAATGCATATTATTATATTACTACGTCTAAATTGGTCATTGTCTGCTGGGGACAGGACCCAGGGCCTCCTGTATGTCAGGCAAATGCTATACTCTCCCAGACATGTATTTTAAAAACGTATTTTAAAATTTTGTACTTGTCTTTTTAATTGTATATACTCTATTTTGAATACATAAAAAAAGAGTACTGTGCCCGGCATGGTGATGAATGCTTGAATCCGAGGAGCTTGAGGGACAAGTTTGAGGGCAGCCTGGAGTATACGGGGAGACCCTGACTCAAAAACCCAAGTGATACTCTGAGAAGGCTCCAAGGGATTTGTTAATGTGTCAAAGGAACACGCTGAAAAGTTCAGTCTCACTCTGATTTGGAGGAGCCAAAAAGAAGCTAACCCAATCGTTTGGTTATGTATAGCTTTAGAAGACACCAAAACATGGACTTTCCTTAGGAGTCCTTAGAAAGATAATAAGCTTTCACTTAATGTTCCCTGAAACTTTCCTCACTCAACAGGTTTGACATTTTCATTACATCATGGCTGATAATAAAGCATGTGGAGAGGCAAAAAAACCTTCACTACGCAATCACAAAATAAGTAAGTCATTATTATAAATAGCATTTGTATAGTGCTTTCCACAGGGCAGGCATTTCTTACATACCTCACTGAATCCTCAGACTCCATCTGTCTTTATCGCCGCAGCCTAAAAACCTTCCAAGTCGTTTCCCTTTACATTAAGCAAAAACTTTCAAGAGAAACTGTCCCCACCCATGCCTAACTCAAAGGTGGTTCCCCCTCCAAGTCAGAAGATGACTTCCTCAATTCTGCTCCTCCTAGAGAAAAGTCGACACGCAGGCACAGCCCATTTCCAGGGAGAAGAGCGTACACAACCCTCTTTAATAGTCCCCCAAACCCATGTCAAAGACCACACCGTGGGCCCTGACGACTGCACAGGGCTGGCAGAGTGACACCGGCCCCAAACTTCTTTAGGAGTCCCTAAAAGACTCTGCCCCGCTCCAACTCTGCTTAGAAATAAAATCTCCTACCAGGAGCGTGCCTTTTAAACTACTATGATCTCAGATCGGCAGTCACACTGAAGTACCCCCAGAGGCTCAAGCACTCCCCCGACACATGCAGACATTATCCGCGCGAACTTCTGAGATCCCAGCGACCGCTTAGAGAACTCGGTCGCCAACTTTCTCCTGGCTCCCGGCCGCAGCGCCAAGCCCCAGAAGCAAGCTCGATGCCCCCCGCACGCCCGCGTTTTCCCCAGCACCAGGTGACACCTTTCCCTCCCCCCACGCCGCCCGCCCGCCCCCGCGCACACAGTTTTCAAAGAATCTGAAACTTGCACTCCGCGGTCCCAAGACGGCTAGGGCGCCACTCACGTTCTCGTCTCCCGAGAGGTCCGGGTTGCTGTTCTCATCGCTGCTCAACTTCTGCTTCTTGGCCGCAGGCATGTCTGTTCCCGCCGGCGCAGTCGGCACTTCCCTCTCGGACATATTCCTCCGCCTCCCTCCAGGTTCCTGCCGCCTCGGGCGGGGCCTCCGCCACACCGCCGTCAAGCAAGCCCGGCCCGAGCCTGCCGTAAAGCTGCCACTGCCGCCGCCACCACCTCCGCCGCTCCCCCCACTGTCGCAAATCGCGCCCAGCCGCCGAGGCGGGCGTGCGTGCGACCCCGCCACACTGCTGAAAAAGGGGCGCGCGCGCGCCCTCCCGCACGGCTTCCTGGCTGCTTCCCGGTCCCGGTTCCCGGCTGATGGTTTTCCCGCCGCCCTCTCGGCAGTTTGCACGGAGGCGTCGGATCCGCTGGCTTAAGAGGGCGGTATTTCCTATGTCCCGCTTCCCCACCAGGGCCTCGAGAAGAGGCGGAACTCAAAGGGCAGCTCCCTCACCCCCTTCCTTGCAAAGACGTTTCATCCGCAATTGGCTCAATCCTTCGCTCTCCGACCCGCTGCAAGCTAGCGAAAGTCTGAGGCGTGGGTCCGACCACCACTGCCTCAGGGGAGGGGGAAGAAGCAAGAAGGCGCTCCTCGCTCTATGGGTGCATGCCAAGGGCCCAGAGTCCTGGGCTTAGGGGACAGCATTTCACTATTACCCGATGAAGTGCTAGCAACCTAGTCTTTTTCTTGAAGTTAGAAATTCAAAATCCCTAGGCGCCTTCCTGCATGCCACCCCGGTCTGGCAAATGGAAGGGTCCCACCCGGAGATGCGCATGCGCCGAGGCGTCTTCTCCCGCTGGGTTGCCGGGACGGCCTCCGGCAGGCCCCTCCTCTTCTCAGTTGTTTGCTGAACCAGGTAGTGGTCCACCGGTCTCCAAAGCCCAGGCAGGAATTCGAAACGCTGCCAAGTCAGTCTCCCTACGCGCCTAAACTCTTGACGGATATTTTAGCTAATGAATGTTTATTGCAATGAATGAGTGTCTTCATCAGGCCGGTGCCAGTATTAGTTTAAGTAGATGCATGATAAATATATGTGCTTATAATTGCATACTTAGATTTAACTAAAAATGTCTTGCCGTGCATGATTATAATCCCAGTACTGGGGGAGGCTACAGCAGGAGGATCGCTAGAATTTCGAGGTCAACCTGGTCTTCATAACAAGTTCCAAGAAATCACATGATTCTAAACTACAAGAGTTACACGCATTAAAATGCTGTTTTTAGCCGTTGAAAGACTAAGGCCTATAAATCAGTATAAGCAACTGTGTGAGTTTGTGAGACTTAGGCAATAGGCTTTTTTTTTTTTTTAATATGTCAGATGCAATAACATTTTAGGAAAAGGCAACCAAATTATTAGTTGACCAAAATATTTCCTCTGTCACATCAATCTGGGCTCTTGACAGGTGCCAGATCAATTTGTGACCCTTGTGGATTTGTTGAACGTGTCATTAAGCCACATAACTGAAGGAAACTTCCTCCCACCACCCGTTTTAGAGCATAATTATTTCAGTATCTTCATCTGTAAAATAAGAGAGGAAGGGGCCAAACATCAGGCATCCACTTAATAGTGTATATATTTTCTCTTTTGGACTTCGTTGCATCTTCTAGTGGAGTGCACCGTCCATTGGTAGTAGTTATTCAAATACTTTACATCATCACAGTGAAAGCGTGTTTCATTAGCTGCAAGACTCTCTGAGAGACCTTGTTTGATCTAGATGGGAAAAGGAAGTAAATGAAAGGATAGGGAAAAATAAGTTGAAAAAGATCAGAGTTTAGGCCTTAGTAATAGGAAGTTACTGTTCAGCCTCTGGTGTACCAGGCAGTGCTAAGGACATCCAAAGAAGTAGGCTGTACCTTGCTTGATCGACATTCTTATGGGTAGATCACCCTTTTGGGGGAATGGTGTTTCTGGACTATAGCTCTACAAATAAAGAGTAATCAGCAAAAGCATTTCAAATCCTAACTAGAGGTATGTGTGTCTGTCTCTCCGTCTGTCACTGTGTGTTGGTGAGAGCTGCAAAGTGGGAGTCAACATCGAATCCTAAAATAAGCCAATGCTGAACATCTGAGTAAAGGACACATTTTCTTTCTACACATGCTATCTTTAAGAAAACAAAAATAAAGGGTCTTGGAGCTGGAGAGATGATTCAGTGGTTAAGAGCACTGGCTGCTCTTCCAGAGGACCTGGGTTTAGCTCCCAACACCCATATGGCAGGTAACACTCATCCTCAACTCCAGTTCCAGGGGATCTGATGCTGTCTTAGCCTCCACAGGCACCAGACATGTGTGTGCTGCACTTATATACATGTAGGAAAGCACTCAGACAAATAAAAATGAATAAAATCTTTTTTTAAAAAGGGGTCTTGGGGCTGGAGAGATGGCTCAGCGGTTAAGAACACTGAGTGTTCTTACAGAAGACCCAGGTTTGAATCCCAGCACCCACATGGCAGCTAACAACTGTCTGTAACTCCAGTTCCAGGGGATCCGATGGCCTCTTCTGTCTTCCATGGGCATTGCACGACACAGGTGCACTTACCTACATGCAGGCAATACATGCATACACATAAAAATAATTTTTTTTTAAAAAGGGTCTTATTGGGACTGGAGAGATGACTCAATGGTCAAGAGCACTGGCTGCTCTTGCAGAAGACCCAGGTTCAAACCCAGCACCCACATAGCAGCTAGCAACTGTTTATAACTCCAGTTCCAGGGGAATTTGATGCCTTCTTCTGACCTCCATGGGCATTGCACAACATGTGTGCCCTTACATACATGCAGGTTATACATTCATTCACATTTTAAAGAAGGGCCTTATTGAAAGGAATTTTTAAATTTTGGTGAATCAGGACTGATGAATAGAAATTGGTTCATATTATTACTAACATTATAGAAAAACTTGTTCTGATATTTGTTAAATGGTAAGAAAGACTTCATTCAGGGCTATTTGGATAGGTACCAAAACTATCCCAATAAGAGAGAATTACAAGGGGCTGGAGAAATGACTTGGTTAAGAGCACTGACTGCTCTTGCAGAGGACCAGGGTTAGGTTCTCAGCACACCCGGTGGCTAATAATTGTCCTTAACTCCAGTTCCAGGCAATCTGATGCATAGGAGCACTTACATACAAGCATGCAAAACACTCATACACATAAATAATAAAATATAAAAAAAGGTAATTACAGGTCAGCTCTGAATACAGCAAAAACAAGTAGGGTTCCTTATGGGAGCGTGGGTGACCCAGGGGCAGCTGCATCACCGAAAAACAATCCCAGCATGCGTGACAAGCCTGGTCCTTGGAGCTCCTTGTATGACTCACAGGCTTCTCAGCCAGCTGGAGAGTCTCTTCTCCCAGAAGTTATTTCTGCTTCTATAATTGGGGAGGAATCTTGTTTCAGGAGCTTCCTGGGCCCTATGAGTTTTACTTCCTGAACCATGTAAATTTTATTTACTCTCTGAGTCATAAACCTCTCCATGAAGGAATGTTTCAATTCAAAAAAATAGGTACACAATTTAGAAATTAAATTTTCTGCCTGGTGGCACACACCTTTAGTCCCAGCACTTTGGGAGGCAGAGGCAGGCAGATCTCTGTGAGTTCAAGGCCAGCTGGGGCTACAGAGAGACCCTGTCTCAAAAGGACCTAAATAAATAAATAAAATTTTCTGAAATGCTACTTATGTGCAAAGTGTATGGTAATTTCACATGAGAGGTCATAAAAGGGAAAATAAGACACAGTTTACCTTCAAAAACTCTTAATACTCTTCTAGCATTTAAAAAAGTCTTGATCTAGGAAGCTAGCTCAATTGGTAAGAGCACTTGCTGGTAAGTATGAAGACTGTGTTTGAATACCAAGGGCCTACATAAAAAGCTAGGAGGATTGCAGTCATGCAAGGAACCCAGCACTGTGAGAAACAGAAGATTGTGGGGGCTTGCTAATCACCAGCCTAGCTCTAGGTTCAGTGAGAAACCTTGTCTCAAGAAATAAGGCAGAGAGACATAGCCATTCCTCTGGCCTCAAATGAGCACACACCCATATCACACAAACACACACACACACACACACACACACATTTTTTTTAAATGTCATATATATGGGGCATGGTGGCTCAGACCTATAATCCTAGCATTCAGAAGGTAGAGGCAGAAGGATCAGGAGTTCAAGACATCCTTGGCATTGTAGCAAGTTCAAGGCCAGCCTGGACAATATAAAACCCCTTCTTAAAAAAAGAAAAACAAAAAAAAACCTAATATTTACAAAATATCTCAGTAATTCATAGAATGTAAGAGGCTAAGGAAGAGGAACATTGGATTGATTACTAAACATTATAGTTTGGCTGGCTTCCTGGATTGTGGTACCACTAAAATAAGGAAAAATAGAAGTTATGAAAGGTTTTTTTTAATAGATTTATTTTTTTTAATGTGTATGAGTGTTATGCCTGCGTGTATGTAAGTGCACCCGTGTTGTGCAGTGCCCATGAAGCCAGAAGAAGGCGTTGGATCCCCTGGAACTGGAGTTATAGATAGTTGTTAGCCGACATGTGGGTGCTGGGTTTGAACCCGAGTCTTCTGTAAGAGCAACCAGTGGTGAACTCTCCAGCCCCATGGTTGGAAATTTTTAATTTTTAGTGTTATGAAGATAGAATGTAATTTTACTTCCTAAATTCATATAGTCTTAAAGGACAAATGCAAACAACAATGATCTCTCCCTAACGTAAGGAAGGATTAGCTCAAAATGGAGATAATTCCATTGTCTTACTCTTTATGGGACTAGAGAGATAGCTCAGAAATTAAGAGTGTGTACTGCTGCTCTTCCCAGAGGACCCATGTCAGGCAACTCACAACCTCCTGTAACTCCAGTTCTAGGGCATCTGACCCCTTCTTCTGGCCTCCTCGGGCTCTGCACAAATACAGTACACATACCTACACTCAAGCACGAACACACACATTAGCCAAATCTTTTTTAAAATAGAGCTTAGTGTAAGCATTAAATGAGACGTATGTGAAAGAGCTCAAAACATTTATTGCAGGAAAAGTTGTTGGAAAGTTAAACTTTTGTTTTTGAATTAAAGGTTTGCTCTCGCTTCACAATTACCAGTGTTGATTTTGTGAGGAAGATATTACCCATAATTTCCTCTTACACAATAGGAAGAAACATGCAGGAAAACATATTTTGATTGAAAGTGATTTTGAGAGTCTCTGTGTTCTTTTCAAGTGTAAATCAAAACCATAAAGTCATCCTTACTTTAAAATGCTAAGGAAAAAAAAGTATCCAGAAAGCTGTACCAAGAGGTCACATTCCCTGAAGGCTTATTGCACAATTTATCTCTCAATCTTTTAAAAAAATTATTGCTATTTTTAGAATATCCTTTTATTTACAGATAATGAAGCGGAGACAAAGAAGTCAGCTTGGAGTCACAGAGGTGACATGTGGAGTGGCTGGGCTTGCATCCATACAGCTGAACTCTGGGACTTGTTCTTTATTGCTGCACCATATGGCTCTCCACTCAGCTGTCAAATGTGTGCCTTTCTTTTCATCCCTTCCTTCTTATAGTGCTGGGCATCTAGGCCAGGCTCTCTCACACATTACGCAAGTGCTCTACCATCAAGCTGCAGCCTGATCACTTCTATCTTTCTGCTTTCCTTACTGCTTCTCTGTAATTGTTGGTAAATAAATATGTATTAGATTGAATTAAGAGAAAAGGCCATTTTAATTTTAAAAGTAGCTGTAATAATTTATTTGAAATAGCCCAATTCTC